TGATAGGTTTGAACTGCTGACCTTGGTGTTAGCAGTCCAGTGCTTTTCCTATAATGCCACCAGAGCACCTTTAGCCTAACACAGTGATTGCAGCAGAATCAGCTGGAGAGCTGTTTAAACTTACATTGCTTGGCCTTATCCCTAGAGGTTTTGATTCAGCAGTCTAGGCTAGGTTGGAATTTTGCATTTCCTACAAGTTTCTATTTGAAGTTTATGAGTGCCCATGAAACAATTTTAAGCAGAGGAGTGATGAATTCTAATTTATATTTTAAGAGAAACTTGTGGAGAATGGATTGAAAGGAAACATTAGAGGAAGGTGGAAGGCCAATTACTTATTTTTGAGCTCTTCATATTCTATCTACTTCTTCAATGGTGGAATGGTATTCCCCCAAATGTTAACTGTACTTATTTTAGGATTGGAAACAATCGTTGTTAAGTGCCATCAAGTTGGTTCCAACTCATAGCAACCCTGTGTAGGGTTTCCAAAGAGCAGCTGGTGGGTTTAAAGCACCAACCTTGTGGCTCAAACTGACCTTGCAGTTCAACGCATTATCCTGCAGTGCCACACTTAGAACATAACAAAGCCCAGTATATTTTACTAACATTTTTAAAAGATGTCTGAGTTCCTGCCTTAACCTTCTTTCTCTTCTCAAACTCATTCTCCATGGAAGACCTCACCCACTCTCATGGCCTTCATTACCATTGAGATTTCCAAAAGTCTCATCTGCAGCCCTAACCTCTCTTCTGAGCTCCAGGCTCACCCATGTGTCCCACTCTCTGCTGAGCATCACAGCAAACACACATACAGTTGCTGTTAAGTTGATTTTGATTCATGACAAACCCATGTGTGCTGAGAAGAACTGCTCCATAGGGTTTTCTAGGCGGTGACATTTCAGAAGCAGATGCCAGGTCGTTCCTTTGAGGCACATCTGGGTAGGTTTGAACCACCAATCTTTCATAGTTGAACACTTAGCGAATTGTACTACTCAGGGATCCCAGGCACTTCCACAAGCCCCTGTAATTAATGACTCCTGAAATTATCTCTTCCCACTCCCAGACCTCTTCTTTGTTGAATTACATCTGGCCCAACAGCTTGGCATCAATCACCCTTATTACCTGCTTCTCTCTCCAGTCCTCAGTCCAGGTCTGTTCGCTCACTATAGGGTGCAATGCTCTAACTCAAAGGTCAACAGTTTATGCCCATCAGCAGCTCAGTGGGTGAAAAGAGTTGACCATCTACTCCAGTAAAAATTTACAGCCTAGGAAACCCTGTGGGGCCATTCTACTCTGTTCTGTAGGGTCACTTTGGGTTAGAATTTACTCTGTATCATACAATAAAAATCATTATAGAAGCAGATCCACCAGGTCTTTCTTCCAAAGAGGGCTGAAGTTGCCAACCTTTCAGTATCAGCCAAGAGCTTAACCATCGTGTCGCCAGGGATCATAGCCTACAATGGCACTCCATAACATTTATTGAAATCATCTATTCATTCTTTGAACAAATATTTATTGAGCACCATAAATAAGTGAATGTCACCAAGTCCTGTCTATCTTACTTTCTAAAGAACCCCATTCTGGCCTCTAATTCTTCTCACAGCCATTCCACTGTTCCAGATCATTTCAGTTTCTCACCTTCTGATTGGTCTCTTGGAGTCTTGGTGTGGTGCTTGTGGGTTAATGCGCTGGACTGCAACCTCAGTTTGAACCACAAGGTTGGTGGATCAAACTCACCAGCCACTCCTTGGAAACCCTATACAGGGTCACTATGAGTCGAAACCGACTCCATAGCACTTAACAACAACAACAATAATTGGTCACTTGGACTCTGGATTTTTACTCTTCCCAACCTTTCTCTTGCAAAATCCAGTCTTTAAAAAGGAACATTTGTGTGTGTGTGTGTGTGTGTATGTGAATCTATGGCTTAAAACCCTTTCATGGATGAAGAGATATTGCAAAGGTAACCATTGTTGTTGTTAGATGCTGTTGAGTTGGTCCCAACTCATATTGACCCTATCTATGTGCAATAAAATGCAACACTGCCTGGTCCTGTGTCATCCTCACAATTGTTATTCTTCAGCCCATTGCTACTGCCACTGTGTCAACCTATCTCTTTGAGGGTCTTCCTGTTGTTTGCAGGCCTTCCACTTTACTAAGCACGATGTTCTTCCTGATAACATGTCTGAAGTATGAAAGACAAGGTCTCACTATATTGACTTCTAAAAAGCATTCTGGCTATACTTCTTCCAAGACAGGTTTGTTTGTTCTTCTGGCTGTCCATGGTACTTTTAATATTCTTCTCCAACACCCATAATTCAAATGCAGTGATTCTTTTCCAGTCTTCCTTATTCATTGTCCAACTTTCTATATGCATATAAGGCAACTGAAAATACGATTGCTTGGGTCAGGCATACCTTAGTCCTCAAACTGACAGGGTTTTTTTTTGTTGTTGTTGTTTTAACTTTTTATTGTAAATTGAGTGACGGTTTACAGAACAGATCATCAGTCCTACATTCAACAAATTATATATTTCATGTCATTACAATGATTGTAATCCACTCCATGTACCATCAGTTAACAGTATTTACCACTATTCATTATATTTCTCCCTCCTCCCATCCCCACCTGCTCTGTAACCATCATAGAATGTTTCATTTAGTAAGAAAATCTTAACTTTTTACATCAGACTGACAGTTTTGCTCTTTAACACTTTCAAGAGGTCTTGTGCAGCAGATTTGCTTAATGCAATGCTAAAAATAGCGATAGAAGTATATAGAACTAATGTAGTAGGGAAGTACAAGGTATGAGATAAATCCATATTTATCATAATAGGTTGTTGTTGTTATTGTTAAGTGCTGTCAAGTTGGTTCGGACTCCCAGCAACCCTGTATAGTTTCTACAGAGAAGCTGGTGGGATTGAACTGCTGACCTTTAGATTGTTAGTCCAGTGCTTATCCTACAGCGCCACACCAGGACTGCATCACTGGAAACCCTAAGGAGCAGATCCACTCTATGCTATAAGGTCAACATGGGTTGGAATTGACTCAATGGCAGTGGGTTTGGTATTATTTATTTATTTTTCAACAGACCACTGCCACTGAGTAAATTCCAATTCATAATGATCCTAAAGCACAGAGTAGAATTGCTCCTTAGGGTTTCTAAGACTGTAAATTTTAACAGGAGCAGACAGGAAGCCAGCAGACAATGTTTAAAATCAAGACATAGTAGTACAAGCCAAATGTTTACAATTATGGGTGTAAACACCAGAAAAAGAAAAAAAAAATACCCATGTGGCGTTGTAGAATAAGCACTAACTGCTAACCACAAGGTTGTTGTTGTTGTTATGTGACTTGGAGTCGGTTCCAACTCATAGTGACCCTGTACAGGGTTTCCGAGGCTGTAAATCTTTACAGGAGCAGAACGCCTCATCTTTCTCCCGCAGAACAGCTGACCTTGTGGGTTTGCAGCCAGATTCATAACCACTATGCTACCAGGAGAGCTCTGGTAGCGTAGTGGTTACGAATCGGGCTGTGAACCTGAAGGTCAGCAGTTTGAAACTACCAGCAGCTCCATGGGAGAAAGATGAGGCTTTCTACTCCCGTAAAGATTTAAACCCTTGGAAACCTTGTACAGGGTCGCTATGGGTCGGAACCGACTCGACGGGCACTTAACAACAACAACATGCTACCAGGAGTCCTGGTGTGGTGCTGTGGGTTAATGCACTAGACTGTAAAGTCAGTTTGAACTGCAAGGTTGGTGGTTCAAGCTCACCAGTTGCTCCTTGGAAATCCTCTACAGCGTCGCTAAGGATCAGAACTGAATTGACGGCACTTAACAACTACCACAAGGTAGGCGGTTCAAATCCATCAGCAGCTCTTGGAGACCCTATGGGTCGGAACTAGTCAGATGGCGTTTAACAACAATATGAGGAAAGGAAATAGAAATGGGAAAGGAAAGGCAGGAGTAATCTTTTCATTGTAAACTCTTTTGTAACCATAGACTGAAATTTACTTTGTTTAGAAATCAAAATGAGCACCACCCCCAAATTATTTTTTAGTGGTTTTTCATTGTCCATACAATAAAATATACCCTTGCTACTCAAACTGTAGTTCGTACACCAATGGCTTATTAATGCAGTTCGTATACCTGGGAGCTTATTAATGCAGAATCTCTGGCCTCATCAGGGTACAGAACAAGATTCACAGTGATTCATGTGCACAGTCAAGCTTAAGAAACACCAGTCTACAAGATCCAGCATAATTTGGCCATGTAGACCATTCCAAAGGAACACTGGTGGAGCGGCAGGTTAGGTGTTGGGCTGCTAACTACAAGCCACTGCGCTCCTAAAGATTTACAGTCTTGGAAACCCTGTAAATCACCCTGTAAGTCGCTATGAGTGGTAACCAACTCAAGTGGGTTTGGTTTCGGTTTGGATGGACCTCTCCAGCTTCAGCACTAATTTGTCTTCTCACTGGCCAAGACTACTTTCTACTCCTTCGATCTAAATTCTAGCCATTGGGGGCTAGTACTAGAGTTTGTGTGTGTCAGGAACTAGCTAAATCTAGCCACCGTATTAGTCGCAGCTCTTCTGCTCCAGGAAGCCTTCCAAAATTCTGTGCAGCTCTATGCTACCGCTGTTTGTTAACCTTCCACATCCCTGACTATCTTTAGTCTTCATTCAGCACGCGTTTATTGGGCACCTGCTGTGTGCCTGATTGGATTCAGTTGCAGGGTAAAGAGATCCTTTGAAGTTCTCCTAGGTGCCTTTTGATACAAATTCGGTATCACGCATTACCAAGCAGGTTGTGTGCGCAGCACTCGAATGGTATATGGCTGTGCGCGACTTTTCGGAGTGTTACGGCACCAGAAATCCTCCAGCTCCCCGCGCTGTGCCGGCGGGGGCCCACTGGTTCTGCTTTCCCTTAGAGCCCAGAGGAAAGAGGACCTCGGGGAACAAGATTTCCCGGCGTCCAGTCCCCAGCACTATTCAAGCTTGGGTTCACATGGAGGGGACCGCGGAGTCCCAGACACCCGACCTGCGAGATGTGGAGGGCAAGGTGGGCAGGAAGACCCCTGAAGGGCTGCTCCGTGGGCTTCGAGGCGAGAGGGAGCCGGGGACCGCTGGCGCCCTCCTTCTGCTCCCAGGGCCCCCTAACTCGGGCCATGGCCTGGGGGACAAGATCATGGAGCTGAGAATGGAGCTGGTGAGTGTCGGGTCATGGGCCAGGGGATTTGAGTTCCCCGGAAAAGATGGACTGATGCCCCTAGAGTTGAAAAGGAGGGTGTTAAAACACTTCATCTAAACCTCAGGATCCTACCAGAATCTATCATTAAGCCCAAGTCTATCATTAAACCCTGGGGTGGAAGTTAATTGCTCCCAAAGGGTAAGTGAGGTTTTGATGGGTCCTGGAGATTTGGGGTGTGAAGCACAGACTCTAGAAAGTTACCCTGCCAAATAAATGGGAGTAGGGAGATGAGGACTGAAGCACTGCTATCAGAGCACAAATCCAAGCAAGACTACCTGTTCCCACCTCCCCGACCCCCCTTTGGCCAGTCATTCCCCACCTCCCTTCCAATTTGGGAGCTTCTTGAGGATTGGGAAGGGATTTGGTTCATCAAAGGCTCTGAGACTCCAGTATTCAGGATAGGATTTAGCACAGAAGAAATTTGGGTAAAGGGGCACTAAAAGCATTCTCTCTCCCTTTCCCCAGTGTCCTCACGCTCCCCGTCTCCACTTAAAATATTTGAAAGTTCCTAGAATTATAGTAGACAGTGCAGGACCACCATCAGTGTCTGTTCCCTCACCACTGACTCAGTTTCTCCCTCCAAGTGCACTGGAGTATTTGGATCTCTTTTGGATCTTCTTGGGAAGAAGAGGAAGAAATAGACACCCTCCTCCCTGGTGTTGCTAGTCTAGATTCAGAGTCTAAAGGACAGCAGCTGCTCATTCTCCCTGTAGGCTCCCCAGGGTCCTGGTTCCTGCAAAGGAGGCAATTTACACCTGCCACCACTTTGCAGTCCATTCTGGGGACCTGAGGAATTGCCAACCACTCCCTGGCCCAGAACCAGGAGCCCACAGTGAGTGTGTCAGCTAATAAATCATGTTGGTACCAGGCTGTACTTTGAGGGATGGGGGCAGGGAAGAGATCATGGGATTCCCAGACCAGTTAGGGTTTTTACCAGAGGCTGGGAGGAGAGCCTTGTGGGCTGAGCAGTCATGGAAGGCTCCCTTGGGAGAGGACTTGAATGCCAAGTGTGTACTTGGCCTTGAAGGTTGAAATGAACAACACATGCTCCAGAGCACAGCTATGACAGTGCTCACCTGTGGGCCAGGAGTGGCTAGTGGTGGGGCAGGGATGAGGGTTGACTTTGCCTCATGGCACAAATAAAAGCCAACTCACTGAATGCGTGTGCCAGAAATCATGCGATGCTTTACAAGCTACTCTATTAATCCCCATAGCAACCCTATTATATAAGTAGTATTTTATAGATGAAGAAACTGAGGCACAGAGAGGTTACGTTACTGAACAAGGTCATATAAAAATTAAACAGCTGAGGCAGGATCTGAACCCAGGTGGTTTGACTACACTTTACATCTTAACTATTGAGACCTACTTTGTGTCAGACCCTTTAAATACATTATGTCTCTGAAGTGAGAAAAGTAATCATATTTCCCCTATCATGCTGCTATGGAAACTCTCACTTGGAGGTGCTGAAGATTTGCCTGAGCTCTCACAGGTAGTCTGCACAGGAGCCAGCCTAGTCTCTCTGGCTCTCACTCTTTTCTGTCTTTGGTTGAGATTACTGTCTGTGAACTTAAATGGGGTACATTTAACTTTTGATTTGTCTATGTATTCTTGACTTTGCCTAGCCTGAGGCTGGAGGGAGAGAGTCTTCTGGGGGCCAAATCAGAGAGGTACTCCTTATATACAACTGTGGATCACAGTCCTGTTTCTTTCTCCCTCCTCAGACCAAGATGTCATTAATCCCTTTAAGCACTCTGCCCTGACCACTGATTTGGGCCCTCAGAGAATAAGAGTTGGGGGAGGGAGATTTCTCTTGAAGCCACTGGTGGCAGAACTGGCCCAAATCCTCTAAGGACTGTCCTTCAACTGTTCCCTTCTGAGCCGTCCTTGCAGGGAGGGGCAGGTCTGCCCTTGAGGCCAAGGTCAGCCCTGCCTCTTTCCTTTTGCCTCCCTCCTCTACTCAAGGATTGTGAGAACCAGTAAAAGGCTGGAATACGTGGGAAGAAGAAGCAATAGCAACCTCCCCTTGGTCTTCCCCCCCAAAGAACTGTTTCTATGGCAACCCACCCCTACAGAGGCAGCTTGAGAAAAAGCTTCAGGCAAAAAGGAGGAAGACATGGGTTCAAGACTTGGCTCTGCTCCAGAATTACTTTGTGATCTTGAGCAGGACTCTGCCTCTCTTCCAGTCTCAATTTTTCTGCCTCTGAGGATGTGGGTGAATTTTGGAACTACACGATCTGTAAGGGTCCTTTTAGTAATAATAATCTAAGATTCACAATCCACAAACAGGATACTGGGAGTTGGATCCCCATGCTTTCATCCTAGAGTCTAATTTGGAAAAACAATGAAGTAGTCATATCCCATTACACCAAGGCACAGCAGAAAGTCTGATTAGTATGTTTTTAGTGAAGAGGTAAGGTGACTCAGGGGAGAAACCTGAATCCCCCTGTGAAAATAACCGAGTTGGAGTGTCCTCTGAAGCTGTATCTCTCTTGAGCTATTTATCCCTTTCACTGTTTCCAAAAAGATGGTGTGAATAAGTGTGCTTCTGTTTTCTGATAAGAAAGACTTGCTTGCTTCTATTCCTGGGAGTAAAGTTGTCACAGTCAGGAAATCTCTGTGCCTGACCCATCCAACACTAGGCTTACCACCAAAAAACGAACTGGGCAGGGTCTTCCCTCGGGGAGCTTACACAGTCTGATTAGGCAGGGAGAGAGACAAATTAACAACTCTAGTGCAGGATGATAGTGCTATTGGAACCCATGGACCATCTCATCAAAGACCACTCTGGAAAGACCACTGGGATTTGGAGGGGGGCATATGCTGTTTCCACCACTCATTTGTCAGTGTGGTGTACTGGGGTAGCTTGTGTGTTCCTGTGACGGTGGAAGCTATACCACCAGTATATTAAATACCACCAAGTCACCCATGGTAGACAGGTTTCAGCAGTGCTTCCAGACTAACACAGGCTAGGAAGAGGGAGAGGCAAACCACTTCTGAACTGTTGTTATTGTTGATAGTTGCCATCGAGTTGGTACTGATCCATAGCGACCTTATGTACAGCAGAACAAAACACAGCCCGATCCTGGGCCAACCTCACTACTATTGCCATGCTTGAGTCCATTGATGCTGCCACTTGGCCAACCCATCTTGTTGGGTGTCTTCCTCTTTTTCTCTGACTCTCCACCTTACCAAACATGAGATCCTTCTCCAGTGACTGGTCCCTCCTGACAATATGAGAGATGAAGTTTGGCCATCTTGGCCTCTAAGGATCACTCTGGCTGCACTTCTTCCAAAACAGATCTATTGGTCCTATGGGCAGCCCATGACACTTTCAATATTCTCCTCCAACACCAAAACTCAAAAGCATCAATTCTTCTACAGTCTTCCTTATTCACTGTCTAGCTTTCGCATGCATATGAGGTTGTTGAAAATACCATGGCTTGGGTCAGGCGCACCTTAGTTCTCAAGCTGACGTCTTTGCTCTTCAACACTTTAAAAAGGTCTTGTGCAGCAGATTTGCCTAATGCAATACGTCGTTTGATCTCTTCACTGCTGCTTCCATGAGTGTTGATAGTTGATCCCAAAAGAATGAAGTCCTTGACAACTTCAATCTTTTCTCCATTGATAAGAATGTTGTTTATTGGTCCAGTGGTGAGGATTTTTGTTTTCTTGACATTGAGATGCAATCCATACCGAAAGCTGTGCTCTTTGATCTTCATCAGTAAATATTTTAAGTCTTCTTTACTCTCAGCAAGCAAGGTTGTATCATCTGCATATTGCAAGTTGTTAATGAGTCTTCTTCCAATCCTAATGCCACATTTTTCTTCATATAACCCAGCTTCTCAGATGATTTGCTCAGCATACAGGTTGAATAAGTATGGTGAAAGAATACACCCCTGTCGCACACCTTTCTTTATTTTAAAACATTCAGTACTCCCATGTTCTGTTTGAACAACTCCCTCTTGATCTATGTACAGATTCCTCATGAGCATAATTAAGTGTTCCGGAATACTCATACTTCGCAATGTTGTCCGTAGCTTGTCAGGATCCACACAATCAAAAGTCTTTGCATAGTCAATAAAGCACAGGTAAACATCTTTCTGATATTCTCTGCTTTCAGCCAAGATCCATCAGACATCAGCAATGATATCCCTCATTTCACGGCCTCTTCTGAAACCAGCTTGAACCTCTGGTAGTTCTCTGTCAATGTATGATTGTAGCTGTTTCTGTATTACCTTTAGCAAAACTTTACTCTCATGGGATATCAAAGAGATTATCTGATGATTTCTGTATTCTGTTGGGTCACCTCTCTTTGGAATGGGCCAATCAGTTGGCCATGTAGTTTTCTTCCAAATTTCTTGGCAGAGAAGAGTGAGTGCCTCCTGTGCCATCTCACTTTCTTGAACGATTTCCATTTTTATTCCGTCAATTCCTGGTGCCTTGTTCTTTGCCAATTCCTTCAATGCACCTTGGACTTCCTCCTTCAGTATCATTGGCTCTGGATCATATGCTACCTCTTGAAATGGTTGAACATTAACCATTTCCTTTTGGTACAGTGACTCTGTGTATTCCTTCCGTCTTCTCTTGATGCTTTCTGCATCATTCAATACATTTGCCCAGAGATTCTTTCAATAACGAAAGTCGAGGCTTGAATTCTTTTGATAAATGCTGAGCATGTTCTTCCTTTTTGGTTTTCTGACTCCAGAACTTTGCACATTTTGTTGTAATATTTGGCTTTATCTTCTCAAGCTGATCTTTGAAATTTTCTGTTCAGCTCTTGTACCTCCTCATTTCTTCCATTTGCTTTAGCATCTCTACATTGGAGAGCAAGTTTCAGTGTCTCTTCTGACATCGATTTTGACCTTTTCCTTCTTTCTTGTCTTCTCAGTGACTTTTTGCTTTCTTCATGTATGATGTTCTTGATGTCATCCCACAACTCTTCTGATCTTCAGTCT